GCATCGAGTCCAGTGCCTTAGGTAATTGTGAAACCTGTTTTAGCGGAGTTCATATTAATTTAAACTTCGGAATTGACAAATATGTTTTATTCTCGGCTTTAAATCGCTTTTTCTAGCGTTATACCAAAGACCGTGCGCTTCTGCTTGTTACTCACAAATGGCGAACAGTTTCCTAAGAGATCTTATCGAGTGATAAGATCTAATATGTCAAAGGCGTAATTATTGTTATTAATAGATATCCATCCTATTTACTGAGCAGCCAAGCTGAGTGCTACCAAGCTCCTTGATCAGCGATAATTGCTTTAATACTTTTGTTTATATTTAAAGATCTCTATAAACTCTATTGGAAGATCCGTTTTCGAAACCAGTTTTTCTCGCAACTTTTCATATGAGACTAGATCAAAGCCTTAACTTAGTAAGGTCTAATAATTTAAAATTAAAGATTTTGTACCACTGACGTCAATATAAATTATTAATAATAACTCAAAAACTGTTGGCCAGACCTTGATCAAATAGACATGGAATTACATGAGAAGCACCAGCTTTAAAACTAAAAAAAGAGTCATCGAAATCGGTTCACCTAGACAAAAAGTTATGGGGTAACACACAGAAAAAAAAACATCCAGTCGAATTGAGTACCGCCTCCTTTTCGGAGTCGGTAGAAAAACAGGCGTAAACTTGGTCTAAATGTATAGTACTGAACGGTATTTTTGAGGCATAGGATTGTAGTTAGAGATTACCCAGATCAAAAACCGAACTAGGCATCATGCAGCTTAAGGTGTTTATTATGTGCCGTTCAAGCATACCATTCAGCACTTTTGCTACAATGAGAGACAGTGAAATGGGTCTATCGTAATAAGTCTAGAGTTTGGTCTATAGTAATAACAAATCAACTGACTTATGTTGAGCTGAAGGGGTTATTTATATGCCATAAATAAGTACATAGATAACAATTTTTTAAATTTTTGTCTTTCCGTTATTTCGGCTCATATTTGGAATGGGAAACTGTAATGAAACTACACAAACAGTAGAGAGTAATGCCAGGAGTGATCTAGGTTGTATATTTATCCGAAAACTTGGAGATTTTTTATTTTATTTTAATTACCTTAAATCTAAATAACGCCACAATAATACATCATACACAGGCGAGGCCAGGGCGCGTCGCTAGTATTTAACTAAATTAGTTTCCGTAAAATATTCTTTAAAATAAGCTATATAAAAGGTAGTTATAACAATTATAGGATATCTATAGTAGCACAAACACAAACGACCTTGTATAGTAACCGACGCAAATGTAATAATTACGGATACTTTACCACAGCTTGTGTGTTTTACAATTAACAAGGTAAATACGTACTCGCTTAAAGTTAAATTATAGTTTTTATTTTATATACAACTAGCTGACCAAGCAGACGTTGTTCTGCCCTTTCCAACGACGCTTCCTATAAACATCATTAAATACGCAATAAAAATTTTTGAGGGTCATTGATCGGGATAAAAACTATCCTATCTCTCAAGTTGGACCAAAATGCACACAGTATGCAAAATTTCATTGAAATCAGTTCAGTAGTTTAGTAGTTCATCGCGGACAAACAACGTGACACGTAAATTTTATATGTAAAGATTAGCCATACTTGCCACTGGTTATTTCTAGATCTCGACAACAGCACCACTTTCGGGTCCAATTGTGAATCTTAACCATTCAGATGGTACTTGGCTACTGCAGCCCATGTGCACCTGCAACCAACTTTGAACGGAGAAGGAAAAAGCGTCGTCACCACTGAGGACTAAGATGAAATGCTTTTTTTTATAGGGTAGGGTGACAAACGAGCACACAGTTCACCTGATGGTAAGTGGTTACTGTGACCCATAGACATCTACATCTATCCTCAATAAAGACTCAAGATGTAGATGCGTTGTCACCCGTGGGAACTAAGATGGAATGCCTCTTTTCCAGTAAAAAGGTTCTCCGGATCTCTACACTCACCATACGAAACACAGCAGCGTTAAGCTGCTATTTTACGCTGGTTTTCTGTGAGACCGTGGTCCTTCCCCGGTCGAGCCGACCCATTCGTGCTACAACTATACTACTAATATAGCTGCAACATGGCTCTAACACGTAAGTGCTTCCACCCTCTTTCCAATTTCTGCCTCCAAAGAGCAGTATTTGTAGGTACTGCAATATTTCGGTCTGAAGGCTAATAACAGGCCGTGAGGAATTTCCATCTGTTTCAATTATGTTTGTTTTTAAGACGGCTGCAGGTATCTACGGGCTGCAGGAGTGCACGATAAGGTGAACAGTTCACCTTATCGTGTACTTCTGAACTTTTTGAATTGACTTATGTTTAGTTTTACCTATTCTAAACCACAAACAACTTATTGCTAGCAATCAAAATGGCCTCATTGCAGCATCGTGGTAATCAAAACGCAATAATTACACCGGTCGCAAACAAAACTGCATAATTGCAATTTTCAAATTTAAATATCTTCCGTTGTGTTAAATATAGCTATCTGGAATTAACATACGTAAAATTAATTTCCAAACTCTATATGGGTAAATAGAAAATTACGCCTAAACTTCAAGTATGTCTGTCACTGTAAGTATGTCAATCAGTTATTTACTGCTACTGTAAAATTTATATTTATGTAATTATACCATTTTGTTCGCCAGCTCCTCAACTGTAAGTTGTGTGAGTCACTTCAGTTTTATAAAAAATACCTTTCAGCTTACTTATGTAATAAACTCGGTTTCTACACTGAGTATTCTAGAGAGTGAATCTAGAATCTAGAGAACAGCAGTGACAGTATCAACACTGATGTAATATAACAAGGCAAGGATTGGCCATTGCACACAAACCATGTAGTGGCGGTGTAAGAATATCCCCTACCCCATAACGTTCTGTGGGTGTCGTAAGAGAGGACGGAGGGAAGGTAAGACAAAAGATAGGAAAGTTAAGAAGGAACTATAGCATAACGTCCTGGGGTGGTACAGCAAAAGACCACATGATAGGTGAGAGCGTGCACAAAGACTTATACTTAAAATATCTAATCAAAAATAGATTAATTTCAACAAACGAACTTACAAATTCTGTGAATTGCTCACCGTATGTCAGCTGTATATTCTTGCGACAATATTATTAAATCATTCAAAAACGGAATATAATAAATCCAATCCTATATTAAACAAACTTATTATTTGCTTTGTTACTTATTTTGCTCGAAGATTTTTCAATTACAGACGTTCAGTCCTACATAATCTTGCTAACAAATTATTAAATATATATCCGTTAACTAAAAGACAATCAAAATATTCCTTAATCAAGAAATGGCTAAAATCATTAGACTACGAACGCACAGGAAAACTATTTAAACGTATTGTTTAAATGTATATTACATACCACATTCATACACACACGCCCATACACACAAGTGCGTACACACACACACACACACACACACACACACACACACACACGCACATCGTATTATTATCACTTAATACACCTGCTTATCTTTACTAGTATTTAAAGCATGTTTTTCTTCTTTGTAGATACCTAATAAGTAATTTTTTACACAGTTTCTCCAAGGTGAATAAGTATATAATATAATGTAATTTTATAACACGTAGCTGTATTTTTTATTAAGTGTTTTACAGCAATATCACTTTTGTCGAGGTCGGTGCCTGGTGATCCCATAGCACAGGGCAACCTAGTTTGGACACCAGTCTCCCAACTAGATTTTATTTAACTAATATTTATAGCTGTTATTTAGTTGTATAGTTTATTGTTACTTAGTTTATTGTGATGTAATGATCATAATATGTGGAAGTAAATAAATAACAATTATTATTATAAAAAAGACGGGAAGCAGCATCTTCCTAAAAACAAGTCAAAATTATAAAAAAACTGCGGTTGCAAACCAACCTGCCAATAGTGGCAACTATGGGAGAATCCTATGTTCAGCAGTGGACTTTTACAGGCTGTAATGGCGGGATGGATGGATGAAAGTTTTAGTCACAGGCTTTCTTGTTATCTGGCTATTACTTGACTCATCAGGAGAAATAAGAGTAATTGATATTTTTTAATGTAACAAGTTTTTTAAATATAGAATAATTATGACAAACGAGCACGCAGTTCACCTGATGGTAAGTGGATACTGTGTAGATATCTACATTTATACTCAAGTAAGAATCAATATGACCATGCATTATCACTCCTGACAACAAAGATGGAATGCCTCGTATCCAGTCAAAAGGGTCTCCGATTTTCTGAACTCACCATACAAAACACAGTAGCATTAAGCTGCTTTTTTACGCTGGTATTCTGTAAAAACGTGGTCGTTCCTCGGTCGATCCGACCTACATGTGTTACAATCATAATATAGCTGCAGCATGGTGCTACCAAATACGAAAATAAAGATTTTAATTATTTACAATTTCGATTTAGAAATTGGCTTTGGACATTAAATTTCCATAAAGTACACCAAACTCCAATTTAATTCCACAAATAACACAATAAAATTCATTAAAAATGAGCTTTTTTTGGGCGGAGCCCATAATATTGTTTTTTTATTAAACAAAAGTAGCAAAAATTACTGCTTATAACATTAGCTATATGCCAGTGAAAGTCCTGTCAAAGTCGGTTCCGAAACCGAACCGAAATGACTGGCATTTCGGTTCGGTTTCGGTTCGTTTAGCCTGAACATACAGACAAACAGACAGACCGACAGAGAGACAAACATTTTTAAAATTGTTTTTTTTTTCATAAGAACCGTATATACTTTTATATGAATTTAGCAAAAATATATTATTTTGACATTACAAACAGACACTTCAATTTTATTTTATTGTATAGGTAATATTATAGATAACAAGCAAATAGGTACTCTAATAAAAACAATACAAAAACTCACCATGATATTCGTGTTTCCCGACAAAACAAAAACACAGATAAAGACATAATGTTTCCGTGCGATTATTATCAAAATTAAAAACAACTTACGTGGTATAGTGATTTGATAAATACAAAAGAGACAGAGGAACTTGTTTGTGCAGACGACGTTGCTGGATGATCAACAAAGACTAAATTACTCGTGGATAGTGGAAGCGATTTGTTAGCACTGATTTTAACGTGCGATGATACGCTGTGCTGTCATAGAGTAGGCAAACACAGTAGTCATATGTGCAAGTTAGTTAAATTGTTTGTATGTTTGTTTTTAATAATGAAAATAAAAAAACTGCGTTATATTGAGCTAAGGGAGCACTGACCTCTATATATATCAATATGCAGATACAAGTATAAGGGGGTTATATGCATGTCATTGAGACATGAATAAGCATTTTTTTTTTAATTTTTTTGTGTCTGTCTTTATATCTGTCTGACTGGGCTTATCTTCGGAATATCTGAACCAATTGTAATGAAATTATAGGTAGAGAGCAATGCCAAAAGTGATCTATATATAGGCTGTAATTTATCCAACAATTTTGGATTAGCCCCTGAAATACAGGTATAATATCCTGGTTTAGGGGCTGCTGACCAATGTAAAAATTTGTGAATGTAATATATTTATCAATAAAGATTATTATTATTATTATGGCGTATCTATAAATTTTTCTCATCTGGTTGGGCAGTATAAATATATAGTTGTAAAAGAACATGGTAAACATACATAAATATCAATAATGTAAAATAAATATATAAAAATTACATAAATATATAAAAACCCAACCAGATGGAAGCCCTCGGCAGGGGAGACCAAACGTTAGAGGGTTAGGGGGAAAGGGAAAGAAACCGACGGACGATGCGGGCGGTATCGAGGGAGCCTACCTCCTTCTGCATTTGAGCTTGCAGCGTTCAGTCACGGAGTATTATTACTTTTTTTGGAAACTACAAAAACTGCCTTTTATTATTTTAATAACGCCACATATATATACCACATAATATAAACTCCCCACGCAAATCCGTGTTGGGTCGTTTGTAATAAAGTATAATTTATATACTTCACCGTGTTATACGGTCACGGCATTTAGAAAACATTATTTTTTTCCACTAATTGTTTTTAGTCTAGCTGATCGTAAGTGGATACTGCAGTACATGGACATCGGCAGAACCTAGACACGTGCAAACAACTCCAAATAAAAGTTACATATGCATTGTCACCTGTAATTATTGAATGCAACGCATTGCGAAGCCACTGCTCCATGGAGCCGTCATCGGCCGTCTTATCAGGTCGTTAGTTTATCTAGTGGAAGATCGGTCTGCACTCCCCATGCAAATAAAAAGCTGCTATCCGAGAATGTATACTTTTAATCAATTGTCAGTATAAAGCAACACATGAATCCGACGTACCGGAGGGGAGTAGCCATACGCAGGCGTTCTTCTCTATCAAATTATAAGTGCAAGCGGTCCTATGCGTACAATAAAACTAATTGCAACCGCGCTGCACTAAATTAAATTTAGTTGCGCGACTGAATCAGCGACCTATGAAAATGCCGAATTCTTCTATTTTTGTTTGTTTTTTGCTGCAAAGAGAGATCTACCACGTCAAATTAGCAAAAACGTGACATTACCTTTCGTATGTAAGTAATTCTTAACGACATTAGTACTATCAACTTTGAATAAGATTGCAAATGCGTCAGAAACCCTGAGAACTAAGATCTAATGCGTCGTGACACCCGTAAAATGTTAAATATATATTATAGTGTAGTGTTTCGTGTGTGTTAGTTGTAGTCATCATCATTGCGAAATGAAGCTCAGTTTTCTCCACTTCAAGATATGTATAATGTTAAATCTTATTTTCCAGAGCCATCAATTATAATTTGTTCTACCAGTTGACATACCATCATCTTACGATGCCATTAATACCACTCCCACTATTATTTTATTATATACTGATTCGGTGACATCTGCATGTACAACATTAACTACTCTACGTGTGAGATTTCTTTTAATAGCTTACTGTAGATACTATGTTTGATTAAAATAGTACATATTTATCAAATAGTAATTTTTACTATTCTACTATTAAGATTGAGTAAGCCACATAGAAATATGATAACAGCAATATATAGCTTATTTGTTTTCCACTTACACGAAGAAAAAGAACATGCAGCAACTGCTAGTGCAGAAAAATAACTAAACTGCTTCAAGCTAAATATAGATTTTTAAAGAAAAACGTTGTTGGATTGAAAAAAAATCTTCAGAATATCAGCTAGCAAGTTTGTAAGCGAACTCACAAAAATGTATTCGTTTACTATACCCAGGAAAATCAAAATCAAGAAACAGACTGTTCAAGCACAAATGAAGTTTTAGAACCTAATGATAATACTGACGATTTTTAAAGTAGTAAATTGAGTGAACCTAAAATATATTACAAATGACCTGATGACATATAAATCTAAATCTACAAAATGAAGATCTTATTTTGGAGAAAAAATTTACTACATAAAATAAAAAATAAAAATGTAACACAAAGTTTCAGTATTGGTATGTTATTAACGGACCGGTACCCTGGAATAAATTCCAAACAATTTAAAAGAATTTTTGAAGAAGGAAAACATAAAAATGGTTTTTACTCCTGTGGGTGCCCCATTTTCAAAGTGGAAAGGCTAAATCAAAAATTACTTTTTTATCTATAAGATAAGATGTAAAATAAATGAAAGTGACAAAAAACAGCATGGACTACTATTGCACAGAAAGGTGTAGAAAAATATAACGAACCAGAGCACACAGTCACAAGGTTTGTTCTAAAATACATTTTAGAAGGCGAGAATGTGAATATTCATCTGCATGAATTGAAATCAAGATGTACAAAAGAAGTTCTGAAAAGAGATAGGAAATTAGATTCAATTGTTTCTTTCCAAGGGAGAAAATGCAAAGAAAACTACTTCACACATATACGAGCGCTTTTCTTAAGTTTGTATTTGCTGTGTTATAGAAAAAGATATGTCTAGATGTAATAACAGACAAATGTGACATTAAACGAAATATAACAATAAATAATAATTGTGAGGAAGACACTTTTCTTAAAGATGATATCTATAATATAAAAATGAATCGCTGAATGTGTTGCTAAGCGCAAATCTCGAGAGCAGCTGAACCGATTTCGCTAATCCTTTTTTATAATATTCCTTGAAGTACGAAGATGGTTCTTACGGAGAGAAAATTTTAAAAAATTGCCTAAAAGAGTCTAAAAACAACACTTTTCTATATTCCCATACAAAAGATTCGTAATAATACTTAAAAGTCAATTTGAACTTTAATACGATACCATAAAGTTTTAATGTTAGTGGAGGGGTTCCGGGAAGGCAAAAAAATTTAAATAAAATAAAATTTAAAACGATGTTACCACAATTATTTCTTCTGCGGCTGCAACGCACCGAGTACCAGCTAGTTTTTTATATTTGTAAGATATGAAAAGACCTAAAATAAAGGCTTTAAATTTTGTTTCTTCTACTTCTACAGATAAACGCCATAACGTATTTATTTTGTTATTCCCGATTACACAAGAGCATATCAGTATATATACAACATTAATCAATTTTAAATACCAGTGTCAAATATAATTATCACTTGTTTTTAATATTATATAAACATTAAGCTTAATTCTTTAATGATAGTGTAACGAACCCCCCCCCCCATCTTTTTTCTTTTCTACTATATATCCACTTATACTTGTATTTCTTTAGAATCTATATCTGTAAGATATATAAATATATCTAATTTTCGTGAGCAGTATAACTTGATCTTTCTAAAGGTTTAAATATAGGCCGTTTAATAAATTTATGGCGTGATCGTCTTAGTTAGGACCCTTTTTTACGTTGTGTTTGTATAGTAACTTAGTTCTTTTAGGTGTATCTTGGAAGAATGAATATTCACGAGAGCAATCGAAAGCTGTTGGTAGAGTCTTATAAGCTAAAGAACTCCGTTCACGAAGACAGAGCTCAAAAAGGTTAAGAACAATAAATTGTCCCTATTCCACTTGTATCTGGTTCACAACAGTCAATTCCTTATTAATTAATCCCGTCCCGCTTGGAAAAGGCTCACAATATTTATATCAAATACCAGTTACAAGGGCTTCGCTCTCCCACATTATAAAAAAAAGTGGAGGAGGTACACGGCCCCACACACGCCGCGCACGGTGAGCGCCAACCATTTAATGCGCTCTGCGTAGTCCACAGCAAAATAACTGGCGAACCAGTAAAAGAGGACTTGGCCCCTTGATAGTGCGTAAGCACAAACATCGACCGAAGTCGCGCATGTCAATGCGTGTAAACGCCATACAGAATACGATCAAATCCAGCCACAGTGAAATGTACGTCACACGGGTTAGGCAACAATCGGCACACTGACCATAAAAAGCCTTCCGTGAGCGCCACCACCTGCCAGACCGCCGTTCCTGCAGACGTGATGTAAGTGTAAGGCATCACCACCAATTGCATGGTCAGCACGGCCAATTGGCCGCAGAGCGTGTCATGAGTCTACCGCTCACCTCAAGGGAATGGGGTCCCACGTTGCGCGGCTTTCGGCCGCAGCCTTGAGAGCCTCCTCAGATTCTCCCTCCAGCTACCACCCGCATGAGGTCAACACATATGCTCCACCAACCAATACAATGGCAGATATAGCCAATAGGCAGTTATAAGATAATATTAATAATTCGCCATCAGAAAGGGTTTGTGTCACTGACGTTGAGTATATGCATTTTTCGATCATGTTTGTCTCACCCACCAACAAGTTGCCTTCAATCTCTCAAAGGCGGGAACTTTATAGAGATATATTATTAAGTTGTTATATAAAACATCATGGAGGGCAGACAGTCTGCAGCCCCGCAATGAAGGGACCCGACTTGGGCAAAGCTACTTAGGTTGTGAGTCAAACCAAGACGCAGAGAGCGCCATTGAGAATAGCGACCCGCCAAACAACCATCGTAGAGACGCAATGCTACAGAATGCAACAAGCATCAATACGACTATCGTCGGGCTTACACCATCCCAAGGTCCCCCATACAGTCCCAGCAGACATCACCACCCGCATACCTCCATCAACCAGAACCACAAGATGCATCGAATCAGGTGCAGCACACCCGCAGATCCATCACAA